GATCTAGGAAAGCTGGACTAGATAGAAATGAGTTAGATGGACAAATGGTTTCAGCTAGGACACATTCCCAACCCTGTCTCCTGATTCCAAGCCAGATGAAAAAACTCATAAGCAACATGGACTACAGCCATCTCCATTTTGTCTCCCTGCCCCAAAACTTGTATTTCTCCTCTGAACATGCACAACGGTTGACTTTCCCAAACCTTTGAGGAACATAAGAACCAAAAGGCCATCTACTCTGTGGCATCCTGTTCCCTGCCAGGGAGTCCCTGTAGCAAGGCTTCAAGTCAGCAACTTTGCCCCATTGTCTATGAGGTGATTCCCAAGGGTCAATGACCTTTGCACACAAAGCTTCCACTTTTAGCTTTCCTTACCTGCCCCCTTTGGTGCAGCTACCTCTATTTAAAATCCTTTCCAAAATCTCAGTTGAAAGACAGAAGACAGAGAATCTCCCTGTTGCAGAGAACACAAGGAGAGGTGACTTGGGTTTGTCCCAAAGAACATCGGGTCCTGCATTCTGTTTTCAACTGAGGCCAGTTAGGAACTTTTGAGCAGAGGACAATTATGTAGCCCTCCCATATTGTATATCCTCGAATAGCTGGTATTTGAAGATGGATTGCTTTGAGTCATGGAAGTTCCAAGATAGATTTTTATGCCCTTTGGACAGCTATTCTTCCTCAAATGATGCTTGGTGGAAGGAGCTGCAGTGTTGTGTGTGTGTGTGCATGTATGTATGTGTGTGCACACGCCTGCCTGTCTCTCTCCCAGCATTTAAACCTTCACTTGATTTCTCAACCACTCTTCTCCTCCAGTTGCTTGTTTTCAAGCCACAAACTAGGCCAGGGAGCTCATAAATAAGTTTTAGTGCCTCTAAATTGTACATCTTTGTCCCAGATGGTTCCTCAGGGCCTCACATCACCAGCAATGTTGACATGCTCTTCATCTCTTTCCAGCTGGATTTGGAATTCAGCCTCACTCTGCTTAAGGAGCTTGATCCAGATCACTCTGCTTCCTACACCTACTTGAAGCAAAAGACTTGAAGCACGGAAGAAATGCCTGGGGTGGCTCAGGAAGGCGGACTGAGAATTGAGGAGAGTACCTTCTATGTGCTTCATTTAAGCGTTGGACTGGAACTGGCGCAAAGCTCAGTCCACTTACGGATCTGCTTCTGCTTTTCTCTGCAACAGTCTCCTTGCCAGCAATCAACTTTAGAAGGAGAAAAGGCATTTGGTTCTTGGGATTCTTAAGCAGTGAGATGTTGAAAACCCTGAATGATCTACTGCAGATCACCCAGAAATCTCCCAACAGATCTTTACACCAGGAGAGAGCAACTGGTGGCTTCCATTTTTGTACCTCTTGAGTTTCCCAAGACTGTTCAACCAAAATCAGAGACAAGCTACCCATTTATTTATTTTATGGAAATAAGGACAAATGGGGAGTATGAAAGCCTCCACTATACTTAGCACACCTATTTTGCTTGAACTCATCACCCAATTCTACCAATCCTCTAATATTCTCTTCAATCAAAAAAAAGAAAGAAAAATTGCTCACCCCAATTTGCATTCTGCCTGCCTTGATCATAGAAAACTTGGGGTTAAATCCCCACCTAGCCCTGAATTCAACAGAGTTCAGTTTCAGAACAAGCTGTAGAAGCCTTTTTTAAAACTCCTCCCAATTTAAAAAAAATGCTCCAGGAAATGAAATAAAAATCCCCATGACCTTTATTTATCCCGATTGATTCCCTAATGATGTAATCGGTTGATTTAATTATATGGACAATTTTAATCTTACCAGTCCATTTTAATATATAATTCATAGTAATACAAAAGATATTAAAGGTTAATCATCTATAATTAAATGAAAATAAAACTTGTGAAGTTCTTGAATTCAAATTGGTTGGGAGTTATTCAAGATAGCTAGCCAGTCTGAATCAGTATGCATAATTAAGTTTAAAAAATAGACAAATTCTGCAAAGATTGCTAAAACACCACAGCTGGAATAGTCTATCACTGAATAAAACAGAATCAAATAACATGGCAGTGTCTACATATTAGCAGCAAGGCAAATATTCCTAACAGCTAATGAGTCTTCCATCTTCACAAGTATTCTCCTTTTGAACATTCCTTCTTGGACATTGTGAAAAATATTACTTTTGGATTTGGTTTGTGGGTTTGCTAGAGATGTTTGGTTAGTCATGGCTGGAAATCCAGGAAGATGTTGATGAAGATTCTGCTCAATGGTGGGCAACTAGCAGCTGATAAGACAAGGCTGGTGGGCCTTGAATCGGCAACAGTCTCAGGAAGTTGCTGCCTATCAAATTAGACAACACCCCTCCAAAGACTGGTTTTTCTATCTCTTGGGAATGGGTTCTTTTTTCCAACCAGGTCCTGCCCCCCTCATTTTTTAAAAAGAAGTCTGAAATCCATGGTGGCTGGCGAAATGACAGTAACACCGTGGCATTATCAGAACAGGCTGGATCAAAGTTTCCAGCACCCTTTCTTATCTTTTTTATCATTATTTTTCTTTTAAAGTATTACATTTTGAAGGACTCGTGGGGGTTAAATAAAACAGCTCTGCCAACAGAGGCTTAAAGCACCGATTTTGCTTCTTATCTCTATTAAAATAAAACCCAGAAATGGGTGCCACCGAAATTTGGCATTTTGAAGCTGAACTTTAGCAGCAAAATTCAGGAGGTGGGCTCTGGACGCTGCAAAAACCTCTGGAGGAAACACAGGCAGGCCTGAGCTCTAGGCAGATAGCTGCATCACACCTGACATTTGTTGAAGAGGCAATGGATATGGCAAGGATACTACAATCAACGCCAACTGGTAACAGCATCTAGCTGATTTTGGCTGATTAGAAAAAATACAACAGGATCAGACTGGTTAGTACTCGGACGGGAGACCACCAGAAAACCCCAGTGCTGTAGGGTGGATTGGAAAGTTGAAAGCCAGCTTGGTGTAGTGGTTAAGGTGCTAGACTAGAAACTGGGAGATAGCAAGTTCTAGTCGTCCCTTGGGCATGAAACCTGGATGGGCAACTTTGGGCCAGTCAACTCTCTAAGGTGGGCCTCACCCACCTCACAGGGTTGTTGTGGCAAAAATAGGAGGCAGGACTGTTTGGTATAGCACCTTGAGTTGTACAAAATATAGGAAGAAGGAGGAGGAGGAGGAGGAGGCGGCAATGACAAACCACTTCTGTATTGTTGCCATGAAAACTATATTGACGTGTCACCAGTCAACAGGAATCAAATTCATCTTGAAGAAGACTTCACTTAATTACATAGAGCCTAATTCCATAAGAAAAAGTTAGAAGAGCCAGGCGTGTTTATTGGGAAAAAGCAATTATTGCAAGACATGGACTACGTCTGCACAGGACGCTTAACCAGCTATAAACTTAGCAGATGCATTCACACAACATACTAAGCTCAGTTAATATGAATCTGGGATGGGAGGGCACTGCTCTACATTTTTGGTTTTGGCTTAGTGCGTTGTGCAAATGCAGCTTGTGTGATTAGGTTATGGTGTGATGTATTTTTCAACTCCTCCAAATGAGTTAATTCAGTGCCTTGGTTAAGCGGGGGAGAGGGGCGGCATACAAATTTAATAAATAAATAAAAATAAATAAAGCGAGTTGAGTAAACACAGACAACTCAGTTACAATTTTCGACTAAGGAAAGGGTTGCGTGCCTCACCTTTAAGAGGAATTGGATGGTCCCCAATCAGAGAACCATAGTGATGGATTTGGGTATGGGCTGGGCATCGAACAGATAATCTTTGAGGGACCCTCCAGTTCCATAGCTGGGTCTATACGTGATGTTAGGCTCATACATTGAGGGAACTCCCATATTGTCTTAGGTGAGAGAAGCAAACTAGGCCATCCCGTTATGCCCTAAAATGGTTTAACTGCCTGGGACCAGAATGTTATGTGAACCCAGTTGACTTTCGCCAACCTGGGCTGGGTTCAGCATTTTGTGCAAAGCTCTGATTCCAAGGTAGCGTCATTTGCTCCATCGAGAGGATGTTCTGCAAGGAGAAAGTCTGAGCAGATCACTTAACCAACCTGCTCAGCTCTTCCTCCCTTACCTCCCCCTCCCTGCAAAGCTTCCAGTTCATTTTGATCTAAACCAGTTTCTCAACCTCAGCAACTTTAAGACGTGTGGACTTCAACTCCCAGAATTCCCCAGCCAG